GCCATAAAACTACAGATTTTATGAAAGGATGCATAATCCATTTGCATGTGAAGAAGAAGACAGGATCTGAAAAGAGGAAAGTCAGGGAGGTAAATAAAAAGTTTCTTTCTCTTCCCAAGGCGCAAATTAAAATGTTCATTTTTGAACACACAAGCTAAACAGAATTGGAACGCCTTCAGCTAAACACCAATTGCACTGAATTTTTTGATGATGTTCTACTCTTTTTCAGTATTAATTTTCTTTGTTTTGATGTCGGGACCTTTTTTATTTTTATTTTTTTTTTTTAGCTTTTTATTTTATATTGGAGTATAACTGATTAACAATGTTGTGATAGCTTCAGGGGAACAGCAAAGGGACTACGCCATACATATCTCAATATCAATGTTCTGCTTTAATGTTTCCTAATTTTATTTTTACAATCAGCATGTGTTATATAAAAACTCAAAAAAAACCCCACACTGAAAGAGCCAGAGTTAGCATTTGGGTTTCTATTCTTGCAGAGTTTCCTCTGCACATTCTCCTCTCCCCCATAGTACTGATGCTCTTTGTGACTAAAGAAGTGAAAGGGGAGTCAGGGTATTTTGATGAAATTTATTCACAGAAGTTTAGAAACTTAGCCAAACACATCCTGCAAAAAAACACCAGCTTTGTTCAGTCGCTCCCAGCTGCTCTGGTGAGGAGCCCTTCCAGCAGGTCCTCCTGGCCCTGACCCTCTGGGGTGGGATCCTTGGCGCTGCCCCAGCCTCAGGCCTCAGTCTGCCTCCAGCCTATGCTCTGCCCAAGGACGCAGTGCTGCTGGATCCAGACATGAAGCCCCTGACATGGTCTCTAGCCTCCTCCTCTCGTCGTCGCTCAGGGAAATGTGTTCCGGAATACCAGGGACTCTTCCACAAAGGGAAACAGTGAGTGAGTGGGTGACAGGATGAAGCAAATGCCACTTTCTTCTAATGGCCTCATTTCCATTCATGGAATCACCACAGCCCATTAGGGGGGATATAGCAGCCAATTCCAGTGTCCCAGAAAATGGTCTGCCCCGTGAAATTGGTCCTTTGGCTACGAGAGAAAAGGAACCTCTTGCATTTTCAAGGACAAAAATATAATCGCAACAGCCTTAGCTACTATTTATTTAGCCATCTGCTACATGCGGGGCAGTGTGCTAAACGTTTTGTATTTACTTTCTCGTGTTAATTCATTACAAACTCTAAGAGGAAAATATGGACTAGCAGATAGGAGCATGACCTATAGTTAAGACCCTGAGTTCCAATCCTGACTCTGACACTTGTGAACTGTGTAGCTGTGGGCAAAGTGGCTTAATTTCCCTGTGCTTTAGGATCCAAGCCTGCAAAGCAATATAATGAGTAATATAAAAGAAATCTGTTAAAGTGCTGCAGTCAATACGTCAGCAAATTTGGAAAACTCAGCAGTGGCCACAGGATTAGAAAAATTCAGTTTTCATTCCAATCCCAAAGAAGGGCAATGCCAAAGAATGTTCAAACTACCACATAATTGTGCTCATTTCACATGCCAGGAAGTAATGCTCAAAATCCTTCAAGCTAGGCTTCAGCAGTATGTGAACCAAGAATTTCCAGATATACAAGCTGGGTTTAGAAAAGGAACAAGAACCAGAGAGCAAATTGCCAACATTTGTGGGATCATGGAGAAAGCAAGGGAATTCCAGAAAAACATCTACTTCTTCACTGACTTATGCTAAAGCCTTTAACTGTGTGGATCACAACAGACTATGGAAAATTCTTAAAGAGATAAGAGTACCAGACCACCTTACCTGCCTCCTGAGAAGCCTGTATGTCAAGAAGCAACAATCACAACTGGACGTGAAACAACGGATTGGTTCGAAATTGGAAATGGAATATGCTAAGGCTGTGTGTTGTCACCCTGCTTACTTAACTTCTATGCAGAGTACATCTTACAAAATGCCAGGCTGGATAAACCACAAACTGGAATCAAGATTGCCACAAGAAATATCAACAACCTCAGATATGCAGAAACTCTTATGGCAGAAAATGAAGAGGAACTAAAAAGCTTGTTGATGAGGGTGAAAGAAGAAAGTGAAAAAGCTGGCTTGAAACACAACATTCAAAAAACCTAGGTCAAGGCAAACAGTCCCATCACTTCATGGCAAATAGATGGGAGAAAAGGGGAAGCAGTGACAGATTTATTTTCTTGAGCTCCAAAATCACTGCGGACAGTGACTGCAGTCTCAAAAGACGCTTGTTCCTCGGAAAAAGAGCTATGACAAACCAAGATAGCATATTAAAAAGCAGAGACATCACTTTGCAGACAAAGGTCCATCTAGTCAAAGCTATGGTTTTTCCAGTAGTCACATACAGATGTGAGAGTTGGACCATAAAGAAAGCTGAGTGCCAAAGAATTGATGCTTTCAAATTGTGGTGCTGGAGAAGACTCTTGAGAATCCCTTGGATCACAAGGAGACCAAACCAGACAATCCTAAAGGAAATCAACCCTGAATATTCATTGGAAGGATTGTTGGTGAAGCTGAAGCTCCAGTACTTTGTTTGGCCACCTGATGCAAAGAGCTGACTCACTGGAAAATACTCGGATGCTGGGAAAGATTAAAGGCAAAAGGAGAAGGGAGTGGCCAGAGAATGAGATGGTTAGATGGCATCACTGACTCAATGGACATGAATTTAAGCACACTCTGGGAGATAGTGAAGGTCAGGGAGGCCTGTGCTGCAGTCGCAAAGAGGGGTCGCAAAGAGTCAGACGAGACTGAGTAACTGAACAACACAACTCAGCAGAAAGCTTAGAATGGCACCTGGGACACAGGGAATGTTCAAAATGGTTTCAACTATTTCCCCCCATCTTACACATGAGGAAACTAAGGATTAAAAGATACATTATAACCACAGAGTTAATCTTCCCACTTCAGAGGCCAAGGCACCGTCCTCAGTCATAAATGGTCAGTAGTGGCTCAAGGAGCAGCAAGCGGGCACCCGATTCCTACATGATATGCTCTGTCCACACTCATACACCTAAGACGGGGAGTGTGGGCTGCTGTGCTGAATTCCCACAGACTCTCAATGCATCTTAGATGCTGTTCTGGGGAGACAGGAATCATCCCACCCGGGAGTTACCTGCATAAAGGCCTGATGCCTTGTACACAAAACAAGGGGCTCTCTTTTGTCCTCTGATTCAAAGCACTGGGCCAGGCCACTGGCATGCTGGGCGCATGCTCTGGAGAGGAAAGGGCTGTGTGGAGAAGAGGGATGTTCGCCTGGTCCATTCAAGAAGAACACACCTTTCTCTCTTACCACATCTGACCTGCGATGTTGCCCAGGTTGTGCTTCCACACTGGAGCCTGCCCCTGCCTCCACGAGGACCAACAGCTGGGTCTCACACGCCTCATCCCTGATACCACACAATGCAGGCGCTTTCCAGCCCTGAGCCCCACTGTAACACATCACCCACAGACGAATACCTGCCACTGATGATACAAACAGCTGCCACTGATGATACGTTTTCCTGATACGCGCCTCCTGATTCATAAAGTAGAAAAAATAAAACCTTAAATAGTTGATTTTTAATCAATCAAGGATTTTTCTGCCTTACTAGTTGGCCTTCTGGGCTTCTCTGGTGGCTCAGATGGTAAAGAATCTGCCTTCAATGCAGGAGATCCGGGTTTGATCCCTGGGAGGATCCCCAGGAAAAGGGAATGGCAACCCACTCCAGTATTCTTGCTGGAAAATTCCATGGACAGAGGAGCCTGGTGGGCTACAGTCCATGGGGTCACAAAAAAGTTGGCCATGACTGAGCATGCATGCACTCCAATCTAAATTATCATATATTTGCAATGAAAAATAGTGGAAATTAAAGCTTGAAATGATCACCATAAAAAAATAATTTTTTAAAGAACCAGGGCTAGAGTCAAGACATCTTAATATGACTGTTATCATTCTTGCTAGTATTCAAAATACTAGCAAAAAAAAAAAAAAACTGGGCAAGTTTTGATGCCTTTGGGCACATTAAGCTCCCCCTCACAATGTAGTTTTCATCCTTAATTCTTTTTTCCCTTCCTCCGGAGTGCATCTGTGAACTAGAGAATTTATACTTCCTTTTTTCAGTGTCCCTTTCAGAACTTCTGCTAACCTTATGATCTGTTCCGTTCAATGCATCCCAGACAAAGGCAATTGCAAAGCAAAAGCTAAATTCAATTCTGCTACAACACACTGGAGAAAAATGGCTCAGTGGTTAAAGGCAGACTTGTGGTTCACTCTGGCTATTTCCTCTAAACTTGACAAGACTTTTTTATTCCTTAGTCATGTAAAGCTATAGCCAGATCAGCTACCATATCCCTGTATCCAATGTTTAAGAATGGAAAAAGAAAGTTGAATGATGAGCAATAGTTATATTCAAGAAGACAATTTGGAAACAAAGATTTTTAGAAAATGAAATCACATATAAGCAGTCAGATTCCTAGGGTACAAAAGTAAAAAAAATCAAATGACTTGAAGGCTTATACATTTAAATAAAAAGGTACATACATAGATGCCAGTGGTGATGAAGTATCAGTGAAGTTGGAAACAGATGGCTCTGGGTGCAAATTAAATACACACACACAGACTTTATACACATACATATTTACATGCATACATACAACTGCAATATATGAAATTATGTATATCACTTCATATATTAAGCATAAATGTACACAGATATATCCTGCAGGATTTACTCTTGCAACTCAGCTTTGGGTAAAAAAATTCATCTTTAGTGATAAAAGGATCCCCTCTTATTTATTAGACACAAGGTTTGAATATGCTTGGTGTTTTATGCCAGTTGTGTTTTATCCTGTGCTCACCACAAAGTGTCCAGTTTTAAGACCAGCACAGCTGGAATGAGTAACTGCCTGGGCTAAGGGGAACCTCTGATTGACTTTAACAGGATGAGGATGAGGAGCGAGGGGCCCGCTCTGCACAGACACCGAGCCCTGTCCAGCTGCACAGAAGGACATCAGGACTCACCAGATTCTGCGTAAACACGGAAACATCCTCTGTGCTGTTGTCAGAATTGACACATAGCAGCCTCCCGAGTCTAGGGGAACATATGACAGTAAAGGTTTTAGTTCTGTTTCCTGCACTGTCCACGTCATTGGTCACAGCTCTCAGATCATGAGATGAAAGGGGCTTCACGGAACCTAAGTGGAGATTAAAACATGCATGTAAAGTATATGAAAGCTATGGTTAATGACCTTTAAAGATCCCTGGGAACTGGAAAACATGTAGTTATGTACAGGAGACTGGCTAACTCTAACTTGAAATTGGGGTGAGAAGCTAATGATCCATGAAGGATCTGTTTGTGGATGTGCTTTGCTACTGGGGCTGGAGATGAAGGAGGAAAAATCCCAGGAAAAGACCCCCTCAACCCCCACAATCCTGTGTGTCTAACTGATCCCAAGAGAAAGAAGGTTTTGCCAGGTGTGAGTGGCACCCAGCTCAGCTCCGGGCACAGGAAGGGGGAGCCGACGCTGTGCATGGAGAGAATAGGAGACAGCCCCCTCCCCGGGAGGACAGGCACATCCTGGCCTGATGACAGCTGCAGGTGCTCCATGGAGTGTCCATCTGTGGACACCTGAGGGACAGGCTGGCTCTAGAACAAATATGAGAGGTCTCCAGAGGACCCCCAGAGGTACACGCTGCATGGATAACATGGGGAGGGAAGAGCCTGTGTGGATATAATGGGGAAAAGAACCAGTGTGAGTGGTCAGTGTGCTAATGTGACCTCACTGATAATCAGCGGCCAGAGAGACGGGGACACGCAGGTTAGAGCAGTGCTTGTCACATACTCTGTACTGAAGGATCGGTGTTTCCCCCCAAATCCACTGTGGGCCAATAATTTTATAAAACACAATAAAATGTTGCAACAATGTCAAATTGCTATAAAAATTTCTAAACACCTCCTTTCACTTTCCATTCTTATCACTTCACAGACCAGAAGGTTCATGGACCACAGTTTGAGGAATACAGGGCTGAAGTACATATCCCTTCACTTTGCACGGGATTAGGAAGCAATCCCAATCTGATAGGATGGCAGATCTGAGAGAGATTTATGCAGTCCACCTGGCTCAGAATCTCACCTTCTCTTTTCTGTTTTAGCCCTTGCTAAAGGGCTGTAGCATCAGGTCTTGCACAAGGGCCTTACACTAGCTCTTGGAGTAGGCACTTGAGATAAACTACTTATAAAGTTGAGTTAATCACCCAATAATAACTAAGACTCCTAAGTGCCATCCACTGTGCTTTCGTTACTCTACCATTATAGTCCTGCAGAGTGAGGGCCACCAACTGCAGTATTTAAACCACGTTAAGTGCTTAAAGGCAGGACCTTGACTATAGCTAATACACCGGGAAAACCAGCTTTCAGTAAGATTTTCAAACATGCAAGGACTGTTCTGAACCTTTAATTAATTAAAATAGCTGACAACAAAACCAAAAATAAACAAAATTTCCTCCACTCAGCAAAGGAAACCATCACAAGATGAAAAGGCAATCTGTGGAATGGGAGAAAATACTTGCAAACCACATATCTGATAAAGGGTTAATGTCCAAAATATACAAGGATCTCATACAACTTAGTAGCAAAATCCCCAAATAACCCAATTTTAAAATGGGCAAATGACTTAAATAGACATTTTTTTCCCAAGAAGACTTACAAATAGGCAACAGGTACATGGAAACGTGTTCATCAATGCTAACCATCAGGGCAATACAAGTCAAAACCACAATGAGATATCACCTCAAACCTGTCAGGATGCCCATTAACAAAACGACATGAAGTAACAAATGCTAGTGAGGGATGTGGAGAAAAGAGAACAGAACCCTTGTGCACTGTTGGTGGAATGTAAATTGGTGTAGTCACCATGGAAAACAGTACAGAGCTTCCTCAAGAAATTAAAAGTAGAACTACCATATGATCCAGAAATCCCACCTCTGGGTATATATTCAAAGGAAACAAATTCATTATCTCAAAGGAAAATCTGTACTCCCATGTTTATTGCAGCATCATTCAAAATAGTCAAGGTATAGAGACATCTGAAATGTCAATCAGCGGATGAATAGATCAAAAAAATGTTGTAAAATGTGATACACACACACACACACACACACACACATACATTTACAGATTAACATATATAATCTAAAATAAAATGTTGTAAAATGTGCCATACACACACACACACATATATATAGACACACACATACACTGTGCTGTGCTTAGTCCCTCAGTCATGTCCAACTCTTTGCTACCTTATGGACTGTAGCTCACCAGGCTCCTCTGTCCATGGAGATTTTCCAGGCAAGAATACTGGAGTAGGTTGCCACGCTTTCCTCCAGGGGATCTTCCCAACCCAAGGACTGAACCCAGGTCTCCCACACTGCAAGTGGATTCTTTATCATCTGAGTCACCAGGAAGCCTAAGAACACTGGAGCGGGTAGCCTATCCCTTCTGCAGGGGATCTTCCTGACCCAGGAATCAAACCTGGGTCTCTCGAATTGCAGGAGGATTCTTTACCAGCTGAGCTACACAGTGAACACACACACACACACACACACACACACACACACACACACACACACTGGAATAGTATTTAGCCTTAAAAAAGAAGGAGATCCTGTCATTTGCAACAACATGGATGAAGTTAGAGGGCATTAAGCTAAGTGAAACAAGCCAGACAAAGACAAATACTGAATGGTATCACTTAAATGTGGAATTTTTTTTTTAAGTCAAATTCATAGAAACAGAGATTGCCAGGGTCTGGGGATGAAAGAAATGGGGAGAGTTTTGGTAAAAGGGTACAAACTTTCAGTTATAAGATAAATAAGGTCTGAAGATCTAATGTGCAGCATGGCAATTATAGTAAATAACACTTCATTGTATAATTGAAATTTGCTGAGGGAGTAAAAGTGAAAAGAAAAAGGTAAACATAGGAAGAGACGAATATATTCATTAGTTTGATTTGGGGGAAGATCTTTTCAAAGTATACACATATATCAAATCATTACATTATATATTTCAGATATCTTACAATTTTTTTCAATTATACCTTTATAAAGCTAACAAACAAAAGACTAAAATAAGATAAAATAAGACAAGATAAACAGAATAAAGTAAAATAAAATACCTGAGCTCTGGGGATAGGCACTAGGTCCTGGGGCTCCTGAGAGAAGGCAGAAGTACCTGGAAATATCAGCCTCAGGAACACAATTCTGCCCCAGAGTCAGGTCTCCCTTGGTACACACACACAAAATTATGCTTTAATTGCCTCCCGTATTTCTATAGTACTTGCTGCTGAAAGTCACTGCCACCTTTTAGCTTCTGGAACTGGGGACCCAGGAAATGAGGTCATCCTGGGAAGGCCAAGAGGAACTATTCTGTACATTCAGTCAATGTTACATGAAGTCATAACTGAGGCCCATTCTCTATTACCTGTCAAGCGAGGGTCCCCCCTCCTGTCAGGATTATATCTGATTATATTATATATATAATTATATCTGATTATATCTCTTTTGTGTGCAGTCTCCGGGCACCCCAACATCCAGCTTCTTCTCATCTTCAGTTTTTCTTTGGAATTTTTAACACTGTGCTTTCTTAATTATTTCCTTAATGAAATCAGACTCTATCTTTTCATTTATTTCTTCACCTCAAGGATTATCTTTGGCAGGTGAGGGGGGGGGCGGTTGGTGGGAGGGCTCTTTAAAAAAACGATTTATCTTTAGTTGAAGCATGTGGCATCTAGTTCCCTGACCAGGGATTGAACCTGAGCCTCCTGCACTGGAAGGGCAGAGTCTTAGCCTCTGAACCACCAGAGAGGTCAATTTCAAAAAGTCTTTTTGGGTAGAGGGCCCACCACAGATGTCCCAGGTCATGAATACTTCTCGCTCAGCCAGGGTATATTAATCCCTCATTCACTTGTCCAGCTTCCTAACCCAGGAGGGTGTCCAGTTCCTAGTCAGCAGTCACCCAGAGCATGCTCAGTCAGCAAGACTAGCTGGCTCCTTGCTGCAAATGCCTGATGAGCATCTCTGACCACGCAGCCCAATTCACCAAGAGCCAAACATCACTTCCCCCCGACCCCACCTTCTTTCATCCAAACATTGATATTTTCATCAGTGAGCTTCAAGCACTTAATTTGGGAAAGATTTCACTAAAGTCCCACCTAAATTTATATTCTACAGAAGAACTGCCCTACCAGGAATGTGGTAATAAAAGGGCGCTGTAACCATATCTGTTTGGCAAGCTCCCACTCTACATGTATCTCATGGAGATTTCAAAAGCAAGTTGACATGTTAAAGACTCTGAGTCTTGGAGTAAAGATATCTTTTTACCCTTCTTTTAAGTATAGCAATTCTCAATCCTATTTGCTTCATGAAAAACAACCACCACCATAACAGCAAGAGTTTCATGGCCACTGGGCTGGGAGGTCTTGTGCATTCCTCCAACAGAGGATGCTACAAGCCCTCTAATACAAGGGATGGAGATATACCAGGAAATAGCACAGACCTGGTCCTGCCTTTTCATTTAGATGTCATGATAACTCCTAAGATGTATATATTTTTTTCCTCATCGCTAAGAAGGGATGATAAGGCTCAGAGAGGTTAAGCAACTTGCCTAATGGTCAAACGTAGATTTCACTGACTCTGAAGTCAGTATTATTAAAAAGTTGGCACTATATTGCCTATATCATACTATTGAGTTGGCCAAAATGTTCATTTTGGTTTTTCCATAAGATGTTACAACCGAAATGAACATTTTGGCCAATCCAATACTTTGAGCTCAGTTAAAATGACCCCTGAGTTAGGAAATGTGATGAATGATTCAGGAAATCTGATAGGTGCAGCTCTCCACCTTCCAGACACAGCCTGTATCCTCCCTGGACTTTGCCTCGGCATCATGCTGTCCTCACTGGTACCCTCTTCCCTCTCTGTTCCCACCATCACAATGCTGCTCGCTCTGCAGGAGCAGCTTAAGGCCCATCTGGCCAACAAGATCTCCCTCCCCATTGTCGCCTATGGGAAATTTTCCTCCCCTAAACTCAAGGAGCTCACCCAGGCTGCACCCTCACTGGACACTTAGGATAATATAGTTTGCATGATTACTATACGCCTGAGTATAAGTCTCTTATTTCCCCAATGAGTAAGT